TAATACGTTTTATAAGAATCTTTGATGCAGCCAACATTTCAGTTTTTGTCTAAAAATGTATGTTAATTGTCTTCTCACCATAATTAATCATGTTTTGTTGTATGCGAAATGTGGGAGACTGCTGAATATTGTTTTGGTAATTTAAATGTTAATTTAAAATACTATTAACTGAATATCAGTTCAACGCCATTGAATGGTTTTAAATGTGGGATACAGTCAAAAGGAGGTCAAAACTTTCCAAATAGACAGGCCAAAAAAATAACATTTTAATGTGTTATGGTTTTTTAGTTCATTAGATAAATAATAAATAATTTAAAAAAAAATGTGATTAGTTCTAACAACTGAAATTTCCTAATAAGATTCTAATAAGATGAATTTCTTCCAATAAGTGAAGGAGCAAGTAGGCTACATTGTTTTGCACAAATGTATTCGTGGGAAACGCCACAATGTTAGCCTACCTCAAGATGCAGGGATTTTGTAATACTCCTCTAAAAACAACATCTAGAGCACAAAATGATAGCATAATAATCTTCTCGAGAAACCCTGCTGCTATAAGAGGAATTCGAGTTAAATCTTTAATAGGTGGAATTTAGGCAAACCGCACTGGAAAATAAACAGATGAGCCAGAGCAACTCAAAATTCTGCCAAAAATAAACACGGTTAAAAAAAATAAAAAAAAATAGACATCTGCTCCTTCCTGGAATGCAAAGTCCCAAAACAACGACAAAAAGCAGGTCAAACCCTGCCTTCTCTTTTCCTCTCACTTCTCGCGTTGCGTCTTTATTTGTGGCTTGGCGAGCTGCTGCTGGCGCTGTAATTAAGTGTGTGGTAATAGGATGGAGCTCCAGGGAGCTCATTAGGCTTTTCAATTAGTGAAAAATACACAAGGTGGAGTCCTCTGCTTTTTAGGGACTTTAGAAACGGGCAGAGATGCCAAGAACGGTTCAGCTGAGAAACGGGGCGGAGGAGACACCCTCCACAGACCTCCCTATTCCTGACGGGTGTCCGAGCCTCCAAAAACCGCCGTGTCTGTGCGCTGAGACCCTGATTAGACCCTGACACTTAAATCGCCAAGTCCAAGGAATCCCGCTCATAAAATTGACATTTCAACAAACGCGAGGCCTCAGAGTCAGGGACGCACAATACCAACCATGGTCCCAAAATTAAGCTTGCTCGCGAATTACATTACACCAACCACGTGAATTATATATTTTCAGTTCAAAATAGAGAAATTAGACATTTATCTGCATCCCTGATTATTGCCGTTGGTCGTTTAACGCTTTTCTCGTAAAACAGCTGTCAAGAAATTCTCTGTCAGCAGCCTCAGTGAACCAGGCTTGCATAACAAAATTAGCTCAATAGCAGCCCAATGACCATATACCAAATATCAAACTCAAAATATATTTCCATACCTAAAATAAACATTTTACAGTCACTGTTATGCAAACTGAACACAGCGCAAAGGCCCCCATACCAGTAGCCCTCCTTCACAAAACGTACTATCTTGCACAGCTTTATCGCTAGCGGAATATGAAATATTTCAACACTCGAAAAAAGTCTGGGTTGTTTCAACCCAACTTTGGGTCAAAAATGTAATTTAAAAATGGAACCCAACGGTTGGGTTAGTCCATATTTGACCCAAAGTTGGGTTGAAACAACCCAGCATTTTTTAGAGCAAATACAAGCATTTCAGTCAAATATAATTTATGCAATATGTCAAACCTGTAACCAGCAGGGAGAAATCAACATGAGGCAACAGTTTAAAAGTAGCCCAAACATGTGGACTTGGCAACCCTGCTAAGATTTGATTGGTCATCTCAATCATTATCAATCATCATCTTATCTCCAATTTAGAATTTTTATAGAGTTTATATCTTGCAGTTCTGTTTTTTTTTTTCTGCCACAGAATACAAATGTAAAGGGTAATTGCGATTATTATTATTTATTTATTTTTTCCCAAATTCTGACTTTTTTCTCACAATTTGGTATTTTTGAGTTTATATCTCACAATTTTTATTCTGAATTCTGAGTTTACATTTCGCAATTCTGACTGTTCTTGAAATTCTGAGTCTATATCTCGCAATTCAGTTTTCCCCCCTACCACAGAATGAAACATAAAAAAATGCAACTGCAACTTCTGACTTGTTTCTCAGAATCCTGATTCTACATCTCACAATTTTGACTTTTTCCTTAATGGGTTTATATCTTGCTATTCTATTTTTTCCACCATAGAATAATAATAATAATAAGAAGAAGAAGATAATTGCAAATTCAGATTCCCACATTCCCACAATTCTGACATTGTGAGATAAAAAGTTGTGATAATTTTTTTTTTTTTTTTTTACATTGCAGCACCAAACTTGACTTAATAACATGCAGTTATTTCACAATCTCTATTATATACACCTTGGGGGAAAAAACAAGACCTCAACGGCGGTATACAGCCACGCTCCCATGAACATATCTGTGTGTGTTCACTGCAATAATGTGCCATAATAAGATTCCGAGCCGCTCCATCCAGAGCTGTAAACGACACACCTCACACCTCACACTGCCTGCAACAGCCAATCAAGTCAAGTATGAGGAAATGCAAGGCATCATTATCACTGATTGCTTAATGATGTCTTACAGTGTGTGCTGGTTCCCATATGATTCAACTATGAGCGGTTTTAACAGCATACGGTTGCACTGCCCCCTCTGTCAGATCTATCTGTGTGACACGCAGCGTGTGCGAGTGTGTGTGTGTGTGTGTGTGTGTGTGTGAGCATGCAGACAGACAGGTTGACACACGTTGAGTGCTCATTTCCCTCTCTGCCCTCAGGTGAGGTACAGACCTGTCAGTCACATGCACACAAAAGCTTATATTTTATTTTGCTCGGCAGTCATTAGAGAAGCGAGAAATATGCCTTGCATCATCCCGGGCCCTGCAATGCTCTCTGGGGCCCCGTGTGTACCCTTAGCTCTAGACCCATCAACCAAATTAAAGGTAATGAGTTGTCAGACAACAGAGAAGGCTAGGACTCTGATGCGCTGGCCTATTCTCCATACGCCCACTGACACACACACACACACACACACACACACACACACACACAGAGCGCTCACACAGCGAGCCGGGCTGAGTGACTTTAATATGACTGGCCTGTTAGAGAGATTGGCTGGAGAAAGATATCTGTGATTATTCTCCCAAGCTTGTTTTCTCCAAGTCAATTCTTGGAAAAGTGCTCGTTAACTCCAGTGGAGCTGCAGGCACAGCACTATTTTGTGTATACCTGATGAGTTCAGATATTATTTAATTGTGTTGCACTTCGTTGCATTAGCATTTTATTATAAAATATCTTCTACTCTATCTCGAACACACCTTTATTTTAAGCAGAAATGGTATTTGTGGTTTTATCATTTTAACTGTAAAATTTCATTTTTTTTATTGTGCTAATAATTGAAATACGCATAAAAATGCGTATTTCATTATTTATTTAATTCTAAAATTATATTTAATATTATTATTATTAATAATATTTTTACGTTTGAATTACATGATTATAATTAAATATATAAATGTGTTTAGTTATAAAATAAAACCTTTTATTCTAAAATGTTTAAAGATGTAAACCCAAACATTTTATTTTTAAAAAATCCAATAATTTAAATAGATTTATATAATAATAGTATATTTCTTTCTTTCTGAAATTATATTCAATTTAAATCCTTTATAATTAAATATACAAATCCATTTAATTATTCAATCAAATATTTTATTCTAGTTTAAAAATGTAAAAAAAAAGTTGCAGCTGATCAGAAATACAGTAAAACGGTAATATTGTGAAATCTTATTGCAATTCAAAATAGCTGTTTTCTATTTGAATGTATTTTAAAATGATATTTATATATTATTTTAAATCATTCTAATATGTTGATTTGCTGCTCAAGAAACATTTATTATTATCAATGTTGAAAACAATTGTGTGGCTTCAAATTTTTGTAGAAACCATTATACATTTTTTTTTAGGATTATTTGATTTGAGTTTTATGTATGTATGTATATATATATATCATGTATACACTTGTTTAACTCTTCTATTGACAAATGTTTTTGGTAAATAACATGCTATGATTTATTGAATTTTTTTTAAATCATACATTGCCTAACATTTAGCCCCTCACACATCTGTGATCTCTTTCATTTGAAGGATTGCGTCTTTAATAATCAGATGCGGCTGGCAGGAGACAGCAGGAGACCTTCCTCTTTAAATGTGTGTACTGAACAAAGAAGTGTGCACTGAACTCTCTCTCTCTCATAAGAGACATCTGTCTGCTCCTCACAAGGTCAGAATTAGTATGTTAATTCAGCTCATTAGAGCGCACTGGCCCCTGGCCAAGCGTCTGCCGGTGGGCCCGGCTTTGATCTTGAATTCGTGCCAGGTTCGGCCTTTGATGTGTCTGAATCACTTGACATTGTGTTTACATTCCTCTACTCCGACAATCAATATTAAGACAAAAGAATACATAAATCAGCTTGAGTGCAAAGCCAAATTAATAGACCACGGCCTGATTGTCAGCCTCTGAAAGAGGAGGAACAACGTCATTTTCAGTTCGCTGGTTAACTGACCAGTCGATTCAGATGTGGCTGTTATGGATGTAAGAATCTGAGACGGATTTGTGATTGATGAAAACGGTTGTATTGTGTCATGACAGGAACTGAAGACCGAACATGAATAAGACTTCAGGTTCTGTAGCCTTTCATGGCTTCATCGATAATGTTCTATAAAGCGAAGCTGAAAACATGACTCTATTTCAGGACTGAATGCTTGAACTTGACGCTTCATAGAAACGGTGCACAGGAAGAGTAATGTCAAGTTCACAGACAGTTTATATCTAGTCTTTACTCAGCTCAGAGCCGTGGTCTGGATTCAGAAGAGACCTCCAAACACACATTTTCTTTCGTCATATGAATAAAGAAGTTTAAAATGTTAATGATTTTAGATAAACACATCAAACCTCTCTTATTTGAGTTGCATCCTGGGATGCTTTTCACACAATGTTGAAAGATATATGATAACATATATGCTGCATGCTTGCAGACTCACTCGTTTAAAAAAAGATATGTATAATAACAAATTACATTGCATACATTTAAGCTGAAGCCTTATCACAAGTATTTAAGCTCATGAGAAACATAAATTCAGTCGAGTGTGTTCAAACATTTGACTGGTTGTGTATATGAACTATATATAATAAGAATCTACTGGGGTTTCAGATTTTTACAAAATTTTATTTTAGGCCTGTCAATGTGTTAACACACACGCAGACAAACATCAGTCAATCATTTTATAGCACTGCTTTAGAACAATATTTACAGTGAAAAACACTTTACAAATACATCTGAATCAGTGCTATTTTAATACCACTGAGATATTGTTATAGTTTTTAATATTTTGTATTATTTCATATGGTTATGTTTTGCTTTCAGTTTCATTTTAAAGTTTTAGGTTTTTTTTGTTGTTTTGTCATTTTTATTGTTTTTTTTATATTCCTGTATGACTGTTAAAAAATGTTAATTACTTACAACTTAGAAACTACAGTTTATTTTTCTATCTGACTAATGAGTTTATGGTCACCGAATATGTTTTTCTGAGGTAAATGTGACGTTATGTGACATTGTTTGTTTACAAGCCGTCATGTTGACGTCTATGTGCGGCTGAAACACTGATTGAGAGATTAACATGAGACAGGATACAGATTGTTAAGTTGTACTCTTTCTTCGGATGTTTAGTCATGTTTATTTTGTGCTGAAGCTGGTATTAATGTGGAGGAGGTGATCAGTTCACTGAGGTGCTACAGCGGTCTGTCACTCAACATTAAACAGCGCCAAAATGGCATTTATTGTTTGAATACTGCAATACAATGGACAGAATTTGAAATCTGAGACTTTGTTTCATATTAAAAGTACCAAAGCACAATGCTTATTGGGATATATTGGATCGGAAGTGCTCTTAAAAATTCCGTTCATTAATTAAAAAAAACATGCTAGATTAATCAATTCTTGGGATTTAAGAATCGATATCGTTCCGTAAAAATGAGAATCGATTAATATCGAGATATCCATATTTTTTACCCAGCCCTAATAATAATGAAAGAAAAACATTTAATCTCTGTAATAACAAACAATATTTTTCTCACTCAAATGAGGTTTTATAAATGAAAATATAGAGCTGCTTTTATAATTTTGGAACGGGGTCTCCACTAGTAAGTGGACAATTATATTTGGGCTTTCTTAGCCTTAAAATCCTTTCCATTAGTTGTTCCACCTGTAGGTTACTTCACAAAGGAGAAGGTCTCCTGCTGTCTCCAACTGGCCACATCAGATTATTAAAGACTCACTCCTCCAAATGAAGGAGGTCACAGTGAGAACAGCATGTATGACTGGCCCTTTCCATAGGTTGTTCCACCTGAAGGTAACAGCAACGTCTCTTGCCATGTGCAGTGATGGACAGTTACAGTACGTGCATTCCTGCTAACATATTCATTGATTGTTTGATCAACACTCTCATTACATTTGACAGTGTGTCAGCTGGCAGCTCCTCGTGAAGACAGGTATCACCTGGCCGCGCGCCCAAGACCGCCTCTTAATGTTTTATTTATGAACATTTGACCTTAAAGAAGGAAACTCAGATGAAGAGTAAGAGGGATCATATTCAGTACTGAATGTCAGGACTACGATTAGGCCTGGTGGAGTATTAGAGGCTGCAGGGGTTTTGTCTCCAGCTGAGGAGTAAAACACTGATTAACATTAACATGATTTGCATGTTGTGCAAGATCTTTGTTCGCTGTGACAAATTATTCATGACAGTCGTTAAGGTCATACAAGATAAAGATTAGGCGAATTGTTTTGCTGTAGAACATATTTACATCGGAAAGATAATCTCACGCACGTGGTCTGACAAAAAACAAAGGCGTTTATGTTTGGTGGGAGTCAGTTTTTGCCAAAAAAAGAGAAGTCATTTACTCACCCTCATGTTGTAACAAACCCGTATGACTTTCGGTGTGGAGCACAAAAGAAAATGCTGCGCTTTCCCATTAAATGAAATCAAAACATGAAAAATCAGCAACATCTTTGTGTTCCACAGAAGGCAGAGAGACATACGGGTTTGGAACTGCATGAGAGAAGTTTCATTTTGACTAAACTATTCCTTTAAGAACCCAGACATAAGACTTGGAGAAACATAAAGCATTGAGTTTTGTTATTAAAATTAAAGAGGACATCTGCTGTGAAAGAGACACTAGAAAGCATTCTAAATCTGCTGGACCGCTCTGCTTTCTAACATTCAGTCTTCTGGGTTTGTGTTCTCCTCAGGAACACGTTCAAGCCATATTTGTGAATTTGGCGTGGTGTTTTGTGCGAGTCTGGCCCTCGGTCTGCTCATTCAGAGTCTGTTCTGTTCTCTGCTCCTGCAGGAGGAGCTCGAGTCCGTCTCTAGAGAGTCCTAGCAATGCATGCTCTGAGTTCTGAGCTGAACTTCAAACAGTTTTAAAAATCATTTCACTCTCTCTCTAACATTGTGTTCACTTTAGTGATGAACGAGATGTTAATTAAAAATAACTGACTGATCACATTCATATTTCTTGATGCATTTGAAGTTTAATACAGCCTAATTGAAAGAGTCATATTCTTAAGAGTTAGAGAAAGAGGAAATGGGAGAGCTGCATTGGGGAAAAAAAAGCTGAATTGGTGATGTAATTTAGACAATATTTTAGTTCAGTGAACGAAAGGCTTTTGACAAATTCATGGTCTTACACTGCCCTTTACAGTCCAGACTCTAATTGCACCTCCTTTCTCAACAATATTCATTTTAATATTATTTTTCAATTATTAAATAATTGTTTTGATATAATTAATAATATAATTATTTTAAATATGTATTTGAATAATTATTAGTTACTTAAAAAAAATTACTTGAAACAGCGCTCCATCAACGAATGTCTGATTTTTCCACATTTGGCACCATTTTAAATGTAATTTGTTAATTTAGCATGCAGTTTAAATGTAAAACTAATATTGAATCTAATATCTAAATGTTGTATAAAAAAAATCATGTAGAAATAATAATTAATATAATATTTATATTGATTTGGTGCGATTTTTGTCTTTTAAACCTCACTATAGGTGACATGCAGAAAGCACTAATGTCCATATTACCTGGCTGTGATAATGATAACGAAGCTAGAAACTATATGCTGTGTGAATAGTTGTAACAAAAACACTAAACAAAAACATTAAACAAAACCAAGCAAAAAAATAAACATAAAAAGAACAATACACAAAAACCAAACAAAACTAAATAAAACAAAAACAAGCAAAAGAAAAGAAAACACTAAACAAAACCAAGCAAAAAAAATAAACAAAAAGAAAAAGAAAAAAGAAAACAAACAGAAAACAATACACAAAAACAAACAAAACTAAATAAAACAAACAAGCAAAGGAGAAAAAAAAGCACTAAACAAAACCAAGAAAAAAAAATTTACATAAAAAGAAAAAAGAAAACAAACAGAAAACAATACACAAAAACCAAACAAAACTAACTAAAAAAAAAAACAAGCAAAAAGAAAACACTAAACAAAACCAAGAAAAAAAAATTTACATAAAAAGAAAAAAAACAAACAAACAAACAATACACAAAAACCAAACAAAACTAAATAAAAAAAAAAAACAAGCACAAAGAAAACACTAAACAAAACCAAGCAAAAAAAAACATAAAAAATAAAAACAAACAAAAAACAATACACAAAAACAAACAAAACTCAATAAAACAAACAAGCAAAGGAGAAAAAAAAGCACTAAACAAAACCAAGAAAAAAAAATTTACATAAAAAGAAAAAAGAAAACAAACAGAAAACAATACACAAAAACCAAACAAAACTAACTAAAAAAAAAAACAAGCAAAAAGAAAACACTAAACAAAACCAAGCAAAAAAAAACATAAAAAGAAAAAGAAAAAAGAAAACAAACAGAAAACAATACACAAAAACCAAACAAAACAAGCAAAGGAGAAAAAAAAGCACTAAACAAAACCAAGAAAAAAAATTTACATAAAAAGAAAAAAAACAAACAAACAAACAAACAATACACAAAAACCAAACAAAACTAAATAAAACAAAAACAAGCAAAAAGATAACACTAAACAAAACCAAGCAAAAAAAAAAATAGAAAAAGAAAAAGAAAAAAGAAAACAAACAGAAAACAATACACAAAAACCAAACAAAACTAAATAAAACTAAAACAAGCAAAAAGATAACACTAAACAAAACCAAGCAAAAAAAAACATAAAAAGAAAAAGAAAAAAGAAAACAAACAGAAAACAATACACAAAAACAAACAAAACTAAATAAAACAAACAAGCAAAGGAGAAAAAAAAGCACTAAACAAAACCAAGAAAAAAAAATTTACATAAAAAGAAAAAAACAAACAAACAAACAAACAATACACAAAAACCAAACAAAACTAAATAAAACAAAAACAAGCAAAAGAAAAGAAAACACTAAACAAAAACACTAAACAAAACCAAGCAAAAAAAATAAACAAAAAGAAAAAGAAAAAAGAAAACAAACAGAAAACAATACACAAAAACCAAACAAAACAAGCAAAGGAGAAAAAAAAGCACTAAACAAAACCAAGAAAAAAAATTTACATAAAAAGAAAAAAAACAAACAAACAAACAAACAATACACAAAAACCAAACAAAACTAAATAAAACTAAAACAAGCAAAAAGATAACACTAAACAAAACCAAGCAAAAAAAAACATAAAAAGAAAAAGAAAAAAGAAAACAAACAAAAAACAATACACAAAAACAAACAAAACTAAATAAAACAAAAACAAGCAAAAGAAAAGAAAACACTAAACAAAACCAAGCAAAAAAAAACATAAAAAGAAAAAGAAAAAAGAAAACAAACAAAAAACAATACACAAAAACAAACAAAACTAAATAAAACAAAAACAAGCAAAAGAAAAGAAAACACTAAACAAAACCAAGCAAAAAAAAACATAAAAAGAAAAAGAAAAAAGAAAACAAACAAAAAACAATACACAAAAACAAACAAAACTAAATAAAACAAAAACAAGCAAAAGAAAAGAAAACACTAAACAAAACCAAGCAAAAAAATAAACAAAAAACAGAAAAAGAAAAAAGAAAACAATACATAAACAAACAAAACAAAATAAAACAAAAACAAGCAAAAGAAAAGCAAACAAGCAAAAAGACAAGCAATGGCCAGCGTTTGTTAGTCGCTCCATAGACTTCCCTGTTCTGCCAGCACATGTCATGGTTATACTCATGGAAGCACTCAGTGGCGTGTGGCTCGCTGCGGATGTGGGTGTTTTCATCCTGAAAGAGAGCGCCCCAGCAGGAGAGGGGCTGTGCAGTTGAAGGTTTGGGGAAATCTCTGGTGGCCTCTGGTGGAAGATAGCTGGAATTAGTAGGACATTCGCAATGTTAGAGTTACCTCCATATCAGCTCATGAGATGGAATTAAACTCAGCTGGTCACATCTCAAATAATGTTTAGGAATTTGAAATTAAAAAAAGCAAGAAGAGAAATTTAGAAGTCCAAACAATTGTTGGCCCCCATTGACTTCCATAGTATGGCTGCTTCCAATGGAAGTCAATGTGGAGCTGAAACTGTTTAGTTATTATTCATTATTCAAAATATCTTCCTTTGTTTTCAACAGATGAAAGAAACTCATACAGATTTGGAACAACTTTAGGGTGAGTAAATTATGACAGTTTTAATTTTGGGGTGAACTACGGCCTTTAAGTACATTTATTCCCGCTCATATCAGATAGATAGCCTATTTTCTCATCTAATTTGCCATGTTCAGTTATCAAGAAAATGTCCATCACTGTTATTTTCTGTATATTTATGTTTGTCAGTGTGGTTTAATTGTGTTCTCTTGTTCATAATTTACAATATAACGTAATTTATAAAGGTTTAGATGGTACTAGAGACCAACATAAAAACACTAGCCTCTGTTATATAGTGAGATATGGCACTGTACATGCTACTTGTTGATAATAAAGCATTATATTTAAAAAATCAAATAAAAAAGCCTGCGTCAGGCGCTGAGGCCACCGGAAGTGTTCGAGCCGCCATCACTGACTGACTGACAGCTGAAACCTGGACCTAAATCACCCGATTTGAAGCGCACCAGGATTAGTTTTTAAGATATGTGTATGGAAATTAATCGTTGCTTCAGATGTTATCTGCAATGTTTATGGTATTTTTGGGCAGGGTAATAATAAATACTAAATTCTCTGTTACAGCTCAGAGAGTCCGGTCCGCGTGTTACATCAAACCTCGGCGGTCTCGTGCGTAAACACGGAAGAGTGTAACGTTACCGGAATCAATCTCATGTGTCACTGTATCACTGACTGAAGCCATGCTTCGCTTAACAGCGCTGCTCGTTGTGTTCCTCTGCTTGCATCAAGGTGAGTCTGTATTCCTCTAGTTATACTGTTAGATGGGGTTTGTGTGGC